TCCGTCGTAAGGAATAAGGAGCCACCTCATTCCAACCCCCAACGTGGAGGACCAGGAGGCTGAGTTCGTCTACCGTCTAACTACTGACCAATCTGGTATGAGTGGCTCTGAAGGTGCAAAGAAAGCACCACGTAGCATAGCTCAAAGGATCACTGAGGCACACAAACCATCGCATCACGGTAAGGTCCAGCCTCAAGTCAGCTCAGATGATTCGGCAAGCGGCAGTGTCACAGCAGGTCACTTGGACTGCTTCAGCCGCCAAGCAATATGCGCCGAATTCCACTCCCAGATTAGCCACCTCTACCAGATGAGTTCAAAACAGGACCAAAGCGTCGGACGTTGAGTACAGGGACGGGAGAGAGTTACACAGAAACCCTACACTGAGGATGGATCAACTTTACATCGCTAACTGGTGGCTTCCTTGACTCGTGTCCCGGATGAGCTGGGATAGCATTTGGCTGTATCTGATGCATCGTGACTACCGGCAAATAATGAGTAGAGATTATATTCGTGAAAAGCTGACCAACCAACACATTTAGTGTAGCCGCCAAGAGGATCGAGCAGTATCAATTAATCAACAAGAGCAGTACATCAGTCATATGAACTAATGCTGCACTACCATACAGCCATTAAGACCTATGGAATAACGGATAATAAGAGGGAGAGAAGGGGAAGTTACCGGAAAACCTTGATGCCCCAAGCAAACTTTCAGGGTCAAGGCGCCTCCACCTTGTCAACAACATATCGTCACAAACAGCTGTATATCGTGCAAAGATGAGGCGGCATCAGCGAGACAACTTCCTTGCGGCGTTCACTGCCCCACGTCATAATTAGCCATTACCCAACAGATGACACGGCACCAAACACACTTTAAACAGACAGTTCGATTAGGAGACAGCAGCAGACGCGCCACTGGTGTCGATTTCGAGCCATGTCCTGTAAAGTCACGAGCCAAGCACAAGGCGAGTCACGTGGATTCCAGCTCGGAAGAGGAGACGGAGCAACAGTAGTCAGTGCCTTCGTTTCACGCTGCCAAGTTAACTTTTGTCTACCTCGAGCCTTGCGCCGACCCACATCAGGGAGACTAAACAAGGTCATCATTGGTAGGCAGTGAGCAGGCATACGTAGCACGTGCCCAAAGCAAATGCAACTTATTCAGTGCTATCTGTTGTTCCAAGGAACTAGCCTGGTTATCATTGTCTAGCACTCGCCTACGCACATCATCGTTACGGAAACGCTGGTGCCATCCGACACCAGAAATGCTCCGTAGACAACGGTGATCAAAAACTTGAAGGTGCCTCAGATCTTCGGACCGAAGGGGCCAAAGCTCACACCCACAGACGGCCCTCACTGTGGCATTGTAAACACGGCCTTTCAGAAGGAGAGAAACTCCCTTCTGTCGCCAAAATACCGTAGGTTCAGGAAGGCAGTTCTGGCTTTTGCTCTTCGTGAACTGACTTTAGTTGATGATGCAGCTGCCAAGTTAAGTGAATCGATCAAGCACCTCAAGTTCCTCGTTATCAAGGGTCAAGAGGTCATCAAGTGACTGGTGGTCCTGCAGCAACAGTTTGCACTTTGAAGGTGCGGAGCGCATACCAAATAATGGGATCACTCTGGACAGGCTATTCAGAATTGATTGTGCCGCCCCAACACAGTTACACAATAAAACGACACCGTCCGCATAATCGAGATCAACTAGCCATTCACCAGGCAGAACCTGGACGTCTACATCGTAAGATTCCGTAAGGGATCACCATGATGGAGTCCACGACGAAATTGAACAAAAACGGGGAAATCGGACAACCCTGACGAAGGCCACTTGCTGTAGGAAAACTATCCGACAGGTCAACCTAGACCCTGACGCGGCATGCAGTGTTCCAATATAAACCACGTAAGATGTTCACATATTTCGTGGGAACACATTTCCGCGCAAGTAGTTCGAACAGAATGCATCGATCGACTGAATCGAAAGGCCACTTGAAGTCAAGGAATAGAGCTATTGTCGGTGTGCGTGGCGCTGCCCTAGCACCTGCCGCAGAGTGAATATATAGTCTATACAGCTGCATCCTGGCTGCTCATCCGTAATCTAAAATTCCCGTTCCACAGTGAGGCGATGAACAAGAATTGAGGTTAGCAATTTTGTCACAACTGGCGTTAGGCTAAGACCCCTGTGGTTAGCACAGTCTGTGCGAGTGCTCTTCTTGTATATGGTCACTATAATCAATTCACTCCAATTAGCTGGGACACTTCCTTCCAGATATATTCGAACAGAGAGGTCAGTGCCTTGCAGAGGATTTCACTTCCATCCTTAAATAGTGCAGGTGGAAGGGAATCCGGGCCAACAGCACGAAAGCGATTGAGGGCTGTGATCGCGCTTCGGACCCGAGCCTCAGATGGAGGCTCTAAACTAACCGTCCAAAGCTCATGCTGCATCACCTGTGTAGAACGATGTCCGGAAGCCCGGGGCCAACTGAACTAATCTTAAACGCGTTTTGCCCAGCGAGCCATACGGTGCACCCGCGCTGTCTCTGATTTTCTCACTGACGCCTGGTTTTCTGGGACCAGTGGTGCGGATCAACTGGAAGAGCTTGCGGTTATTTCCTATTGCTCCTGAATCCTCCATTTCTTTAGGCTGGCTGGCCCATCAGGCTCCCTTGTCAGCACGCATGCTCCACCTTAGTTCGCGCCTAATAGTCCGTTTGGTCACATTGTGCTCAGAGCCAGCCGGGAGATTTCTTCTGGATTCCGACAGGTTCATTGACCTTTCGGATATATACTGACTGGTGCGGTGACGATTTATAGCGCCACAAGCAGATGTCCCTACGTCGCGCATGGTGACCAAGATGCTATCTTATTGAAGCTAAGTGTCATTAGGATAAGACAGCGAAAGTTCGGTACGCAGTGTGTCTCGATAGGCTTGTCTGATCGAGGGTTGAGCGAATTTCTCAGTTGCCAATAGGGGGAGACGCTTGGTGCGCCTCCCGGTAAAGTTCAGGAAGAAATGACAGCGTATCAAAGAATGATTAGAGTCGAGGCAGGTATTCCAGAACGAGCGACAATCCATGGTGGAACCATGCTACCTGTAACTTAGGACAGTGTGATCTATTTTGGTCCACTTCTGACCAGCTACAGGAGGACGCCAAGTGGCACTTTGGATCCCAGAGTGTCTAAAAGCGGTGCTACTAAGAAACAACTTGTGCTCCGCACACAGTTGAAAAAGACGCTCGCCGTTGTCAGTCCGTTCGGCGACAAGCGCATAATTACCACCTAGCTGAGCTTCTGAAGACCTCAGAGGCCCAACTTGTGCGCTCATATCCCCTGCAAGTACTATAATATCTGAACTAGTAGCACTGCGTAGTAGCGTGTTCAGTTCGTGATAGAATGTGTCCTTGGCGGCATCGGAACTGCAGTCAGTGGGAGCATAAGCAGGAATCACAAACAAACAACGTTTTGTGCTATTTCGTGAATCAACCTTAGTTGATGTCGTCAACTGTTCACCAGAATGCAATCAATCAACGATGTTTCAGCCTTGGAGCTGAGACCAATATCTAACCCAGATTGACCCGTGAGTGCCGTATCCGCGAGAGGACAAGTCAGGCGCAGTTAATTCAATGACCCCATTAAGGTTATTCATCTTAGTTTCGGACACACAACATACGTCCATACTCAGTGTGTCCAACGTGCGTGCGAGTTCAGCCTGTTGACCTATCTGTCTTAGAGTGCGAAAGTTGAATGTCGCCACGAAAACGGGACAGCGTGGTATTCTAAGGGACGGTTGCCGATGGGCGTCCGGGGAATGTCGCGGGAAGGTGCCGGCAGATGCTGTGACTCTAGTGGCAGTTCGGCTTTTGTCAATCAAACTGGGAAGTATGGAAGGAAAGTTAGTAATGGGGGTCGGGATGAGAGTAAGAGAAACAGGTAGAAATGAAAGAAGCGAGGCGCCAGCAGTAGCATGTTTTCACCTATCCGCCCTGCTGTTTGCGGTAGATAAGGCGATGCTTGATACTCTGAGCGATGGCCGATGCAGGATATAGTTAAAATTTGGAGAAATAGTCATGGTTGTATGTGGGTTGACATACTGCCAGGGCGTCCAGAGCTAGACAGGCTCAAAAGCCTGTCCGTAAGGCAGCGGATATGGCAACGATTCAGTTTTATAGAACTGAACGCCATCTCATTTCAAATCCACAGCTTGGAGGACCAGGAGACTGAGTTTGTCTGACCTCCAACCATTGACTAACCTGGTAGGATCAGCTCTCAAGGGGCCAGGAGACACGACGCAGTATAGCTCAATGGGTCAAAGAGGTAGGCAAACTGTCGCACCACGTTAAGGTCCGGTCTCATTACGACGGTGGAAGCAGTTTGGGTCTAGGCAATCCATCTGGCAGCGTCAACTGGAGGCTGTAAGATAGCAAACACTACTTGCTGACAGGCGACCCTTCATGCTGCGGGTTGGATGGAATGAAAATCAGTTTAGCAAATACTAGTTGGACGAAATTTGCACACCCCATAACAAAACATGGGCAAAGAGGTAATCCACAAGTGGAGATTAAAGAGGAGGTCCGAAAATTCGAAATGGTCAGTACTACACTGGCACGCAGTTAGCGAGATCTCGAAACATACCTGTTCTCAGCCCAAAAGCAGATAGCAATAACGGCTCTTAAAGCATGGCTTAAAACTAGTGATCACCGGTGGCTAATACTCTCCTCAACAGGATGGAGCGATGATGCCTAGCCTATGTGTTCATCAATACGAGTGTCAAGTGCACGGAATGGTTATGCACGGTTCAGGTGGGTCATTTGTGGTATTTAATCCCCACCAGAGTACAACCACGACAGCTGAACATCGCTGTGCTGACCGAAACACATCAGGTGAAAGGTCCCTCCCATGTTAAAGGGCCATTCGATATCAGATTGTTAGCTATAATTGAAGATGTGTATTCGACCAAGCAGCTTGGATAATCGTGTGGGAGAACAGAAATTTACGTTGAAAACTGACCGTACCTGCCACCTTTATTTTTGATTCCGAGTCAAGCAGCAGATTCTCAGCCTTCAGATCCCGATGCACAACGCCTGAACTGTGACAAAAATCCACGGCGCATACAATTTGCCAAAACAGCTCCCGAGCTTCCTTTTCGCTAAACGCACGTGACTTGCTTATATGATCTGAGTGGAAGACAGCAAGAAACCGCATCATAACAACCTCTTCTGTTAACTAAAACGAGGCCAACGTACATCAAAAACACCAAAAAAGAAATGATAACTGCAGTGCGAAAATCAGTAACGTAAATCTTCACTAGATTCTGCTACTGGGCTTGCGGTTGAACAAAATCTGGTGGACTGGCTTCAAAGACAAAAAAGAAAACTAGAGAACAGGCGAGTACTCGAAAGTATTCCGGACTAAGGTGAAGATTCAGCATTCGGGGATAAACGTTCACGTGAAAGTTTGCATGTAGAACGGGTGTGTTAGATGGGAGATGTCCGGGTATCAGTCAAGAAAAAGGTGCTACCAGTGCGGCGGATTGATAGCTATGTGCACTATCATCCACGCATCGGATGAAGCATTGCGCAGCTAGGTTACAAGGTTGAGGAGATCAAATAGGTAGGTAAAGGTAAATATTAATCGTTTGTAAGCCAGTGAACTGAGCAAATTAGTCTGGGCTCTTTCACGATTGGCTACCATGGGGGGATGTCAGCAATGACGCACGATTCGCATTTGATACATTTTAAGCACACTGAATAATGGTGAACGCACACTACTCGTGCATGTGTTTGGCGTAACATGGCAGCGCCCAGCCCAAGTCATGACATGCTGGAGAAAAATAAGCTTCTAGATGGTTTTTCTATTTTCGATCATTAATGTGCCGATTGTGATGGTAGTATCAGGTCCGAGTGAGCAGATGGACTAACCAAACGAGCCAAACAGCCAATGGAAGGTGGGCGTGACGGATTCGATTATTGGACTCGGATTAGCCGATATTCGTGTGAGTGATTCATCTTTTGTTTAAATGAAGCAAAGGAGGAACCTCCTCGATACAGAAGGGTCGTTAGTTATGGATTTGAACGTGCAATTTATATCGAGGAGATTGACTTGCTAAACATACTGTAATTTTCGCTGAGCTGTCTTTGCCGAATAAACGTTTGTCCCTGAAGGATTGAGTTCTGCAACATGGTGTCAGAGAAGACAAAGACGAACCCCACCGGCGGCGCGCGGATGCTGTTTGGATCACCACTGTCTATTCAGATGCCTGCCCCACTGAACATGGATGAACAGAACTTGGCGAGTAATTGGCGTCTATGGAAGAGCAAGTGGGAGGATTTCTGCACCTTAGTACGTTTGGAGGTACAACCGATGGCGTATCGCTTGGAAATGTTTCGACAGACAGCCATGGATTACACGCGCCGTGTTCTAGAGATATTGCACTACGACAAAGGCGAAGATCACAATAATTTGGAAACGGTCATTGGAAGGTCCAGGGAATATGGTGAAGGGCAAACCAACGATACATACCAGCGCTATCTTTTCTTTTTGCATAACAGAGGTCCAAACGTAGCAGTCGACTAAACTGGAACTAAAGTTGAACTTTGTGGCCCGATCCTGTAATTTCTGTAAATGTTTGGGCGGCAGTCTTATATGAGATCGGATCGTTCTGAGAATCAATGATGAAAGTACGACAAATCGGCTTTTGCGACAACACAACTTCTCGCTCCAGCAGTACATTGATATCTGGAACATTGAGTCCTCAAATAACCATCAATACTAAAAATGAAGCTCGCAACAGATGCGGAATTGTGTGCCGTTTATGGAGGCGAAGCAGCGTAGGCTATAACCGTGAGACAGGAGGTCTACAAATTTTGCGCCATGCGACATCCGAGCACCCGCGAACAGTGTCCGACGTGGGGACGGAATTGCGCCAGATGTGGAAGAAGAAAACATTTTGCTCGTTGCTGCCAATCAACCAATGTGAATGCGGTCATTCGTGACAAGTCCCCCGCAGATGCAGAAGATTAAATTGGCAACGTGTCTCGGAGGGTACCGCAAAAATGTGTCTACGCAAGTCTTTTGATCGAAGGCAAAACCGTAAGATTCCAGTTAGACACATGGGCTACTGTCAACATTCTACCAAGGAAGTATTGTCAGGGAGTGTGCATTCGATCCGATCATTACCTGCGTATGTCGAATGGTTCCAAACTTCATCCGAAGGGCTCAGCAACAATCGAAATGGTTAACCCAAGAGACGGAGTCCCACATCGACTAAAGTTTGTGATCGTGGAGGAAGAGATCATGCGGATTCTCTGCATTGATTCGATGCTGTCTCTCGGTTTTGTTGTTTTAATCATGATCGTTTCGTGCAAGTTTGCCAGGGAGATTCCGATATTAGTGATCAGTATCCGTCTGTGTTTAGCGCAGATTTGGGAACGTTTGAGGGAACCGCTCATTTGTCCTTAGATCCTTCGATACGACCGACAGCGCTACCGGCTAAGAGAGTTCCATTTGCACTGCGTGACGGATTCTGTGCTGAATGGAGCAAATTAGTGAGAGGGTATGATTGCCAAAGTCGACGAGCCAACCGACTTGGTTAGTCAGGTTGCAATCATTACGAAGAAGGGCGAACTGCGTGCGTGCATTGACCCAAAACCATTGAATAAGGCTTTGCGTAGAGAGCATTATGCGCTACCTACCCAAGAAGACAATTTACCGCGTTTGGCAAAAACTAAGTGTTTCACGAAGATAGACCTTTCTTCGGCATCCCGGCACTAGGTTCTAGATGATGAATCCAGTTTCCTTACTACCTTTGCAACACCATCCCGGTTTCATCGTTGGCTGCGTTTACCGTTTGGTTTGATGGTGTCGATTGAAATTTTGCAAAAGCAATTGGTGCAAGCGGTAGACGACTTAGATGATGTAACATGCGTGGCAGACGATGTTTTGATCTATGGCACGACAGAAGAAGAGCATGACGCTAATTTCCAACATTTCTTGCAACGTTGTGTGCAAAAGAACATCAAGCTTAAATGTGAGAAAATTGAACTTCGGAAAGACGAGGTGATTTTCCATGGGCATTTGCTAACAACACAAGGGATCAGGGTCGATCCCGGAAAAATTAAGGCAATTCGAGAAATGCCATCTCCTAACGACGTGAAGGGAATCCATTGCTTAAACGGTATGGTGAATTACTTGAGCCGTTTTATGCCAAGGCCCGCTGAGATCATGACGTCAACCAGGAAGTTACCTCACAAAGGAGTAAAGAGGAGTGAGGGAAAAGAACAGGAAACCGCGTTTGCAACTATTAAGCACCTTAACAGTAAGGTGCCTGTACTCGGATATCACGAACCAGCGCAGAATTTGGAGGAAAAGTGTGACAGTAGCCAAGACGGAATAGATGCTGTTCTCTTACAGAATCGAAAACCTTTGAATTTAAGTAGTCGAGCACTCACCGTGACCTAGCAGTGCTATGTGCAAATTGAGAAGGAGATGCTTGCGGTAGTCTATGCCATGGAGTGTTTCAACGATAATACTTTCGGAAGAAAGACAACGTTGTATACCGACCACAAACCCCTTGTGTGAATAGCGAGGAAAGCGCCGCACGTCGTTCCTCGTCGTCTTCAGCGTATGCTTATCCGGCTTCAAAAGCACGAAGTAGATATTGTGTATGTGTATGTTCATCGCGGATACGCTGTCAAGACCTCGTCTGCCGGTACCCGAGTATAATCCGGAAGAGGTCGAAGCAATAAACTTAGTACGGCACCTGGCAGTGACAGAAGATCGCCCAAAGGAAATAAGACGCCACACAGAGGAAAATGCAACGCTTTCAGCTTTACGAGACGATATTCTAAATGGGTGGTCAGAGACAAAGAAGCAGCTGCCGAAGGAACTAACATCCTACTTCAATTTTTGTGATGAACCTTCTGTCTATAATGGTTTGACGTTCGAGGAAAGCGGTATACTGATTCCGTCATCGATCCGAAGAGAAATGCTGAATTACATTCATCGAGCTCACCTTGGTGTCAAGTATACCATTAACCGAGCAAGAGAAATCATCTTTTGGCTAAAAATGACGGGTCAAATTAGAGATCATGTATCGAATTATGAGGCAGACGAGGAAACCAATGATGCTGCATGATGTCTCTGGCCGACCGTGGCAGGTGGCGGTGGATTAGTTCAGTGATAAAGGGAAAGATTATTTACTCACGGTGGATTACCATAATGGTTATTTTGAAATCGATCTACTCACATCTACGACCACAGAGGCAGTAATCAACAAGCTCAGATGTCAGTTCGCGCGGCACGGTATACCGGAGGAGCTGGTTTCCGACAATGGGCTCCAGTGTCGGCCGGTGGCCGAGTGGTTGACACGTTTGCTATCCAACCATAAGGTCACCGGTTCGAATCCGCGTAGGGGTGGGCGTCCTCGCGGTATACTCAGCCCGCGCGCGACTGGTGGTGGTCGCGCGGCAGCGAAGCGCCGTTACGGCGTATAAGCTGACACACATGGGCTCCAGTTTACCAGCGGTAGGTTACAGGCGTTCGCAACCAAGTGGGAATTCGTGCACCAGCAAACCAGCCCATATCATAGTCAATCGAATGGAAAGGCGGAGTCGGCAGTGTAGCAGGCCAAGCGACTGTTATGAAAGGCTAGAGCAACTGGTGAGGATCCGTACCTCATGCTACTGGAAAATCGCAACACTTTCAACGAATATCGGTTTAAGCCCAGTGCAGCACATATACAGCCGAAGGACTGGAACTCTGATACCAGCATATGCGACACTTTCGCGCCCAGTTTCGCCACAGCACGAACGATTACAGAACAATATGAGATGATGAATGACCACCCAGAAACGGTACTATGACCGCGGTGCACAGGTACTGCCTAAGCTAACAGTGGGGAAGGAAATGTGGGTTCAACCATTACCCTATAGTCAAGAGCTGTGGAAGAAAGATGTGGTGACTGCATGGGTCGATGCCAGGTCATACGAAAAAACGTTAGAGGGAAAAGGTTCAGAAGAAATCGAATGCGTTTGAGACGATGCCGGAGACAACAAGGTGGATTGGGAGTGGAGTAGCAGATGGTGTGAGGCAAGCAGGCCATGACCGCAGATACAGCGAAGACGACATGGAGTAGCCAGGTGTACGTGATGTATGGCAATATGGAGGCACAAGAACACGAAAAAAGGAGGATGTGGTGGTAGTATCAGATCAGAGTGAGCAGATGGACCAACCGAGCGAGCCAGACAGCCAATGGGAAGTGGGCGTGACGGTTTCGATTACTGGACTCGGACTAGCCGATATTCGTGTGAGTGATTCACCTTTTGTTTAACTGAAGCAAATGAGGAACTTCATCGACACAGAAGGGTCTTTAGTTATGGATTTGAACGTGAAATTTATATCGAGGAGTTTGGCTTGCTAAACATGCTGTAATTTTCACTGAGCTGTCTGCCGAATAAACGCGTGTCCTTGAAGGACTGAGTTCTGCAAGACCGATGAGCTTCAAACTAATGGCATAGGCACTGCTTGGGTAACAAAGGTAACCGAGTACTTGTGATGTACATCGGGAGTCATGGAGTAGTCGAGGCTTAACTGAGCCGCCATGAAGCTGTGATAGAATAATTATGAGCTGCACTCACCACGGATCAAAATTCATAAATGAAAAGCAGAGGGGGGAGATGACATGGTGATATAGGGAAATGAAACTGTACTACCCAAGCCGAATCCTTCACTCCGACAAAGAATATCATTTTAGAATTGCACACCGTTCCCTGGAAATAGTTAAGTTACGACCAGTCCCAGAAGAGGCAACAAATGTGAAACAATAAAGTTCGGTTCGCATAACTAAGGGGCCGTGTTGTTGGGTGCCTTAGAAAACACGGGTTCATGTTACGGTAGAAATGAGCGTAGTGAATAGGAATGGGACACAAGCAAGACAAATCGGTAAAGGACATCGAGCAACGCATGTATGCACACACGTACACGAACGCACAATTGAGTAAATTCATCGTAATATGAGCAACATGAAGGGAACAGCGGCATGAACACTAACTTACCGAACACTTCACCTTCGCTTGCGAACTCGGTGACCATAAAAATGCTGCATTCGCTTTCCATCACATGGTACAAACGAACGATATGCGGATGCTGGCAACGTTTCATGGCTTCCAGTTCTCTGAAAACCTTGCTCAGATTGCTAGATCCAATCAGTTCTTTGTTAATAATTTTAATTGCAACCTGAAATTGAGAACGATTGCATAGTACGCTTTGTCAAGTGATGTTCGGTCGGTTACGTGCAGTAAAGTTTATCATAAGTTCCACCTCGGAAGCGATCTTGACTACAAAGCAAAAGAAATCCGCGGAAGTACCTGAGAGTGTGTTTCGTAAGCCGGCAACCATCGGATATTATAACTAGACCCAGTAGTCAACGGACCCAACGGAATGCGATTTAATATCAGCACAAGTGAGATATTGGTAACGGTGAAAGAAGTTCGAGCGAATAAAACGCTAATTCAGAATATGCAGCAGCGTTGGACTATGTTTGCAGAGCTATATTCGTAGAGGAAAGCCGTTCGTGCGGATATATCTACTTGAGGTAACCGAGCAAATGCAGTTTGTCCCAAAGACCAGGCGTGTGGCCACACATGACAATGGAATGAAAGAAACAGAAAGAAACGAAAGTTCTATAGGTCGCAGGAACAAGAATTAAGAGCGAAAGGAATAAAACCGATTTTGACCAAGAGGCACAGATGTTATCGGAACTTCGTCATCGGTATGATTCCGATGACAGGACAGCTGAAGTGACAGTCCGTTCAGAAATGCGCTTAGAGAGCTACAGTAAAAAGTAGCGTTCAACAAGATGGGCAGTAAAGTGCAGCGAGACAAGCCAAAGTGTACACAGCCATATGAATGAATAATGGGATTCAATCACATGGTTATACAACACAGAAACAGAGCGCCAGGTTGTCTTGAAGATTTAGTTTCCAAATTGTAAAATTAATGTCAGTGAGGTACAATGGATACGCAACCTTAAAACCCAAGCAAAGTGAACAGGGGGGCTACCAACCTTCACTTTGGTTTGGACGTGTCTGGCCAATTTGACAACAGCGAAATTACCCCGGCCCAATGTAGGACCCACTTCGTACGGACCCACACGTGGACTGTTTGAGGAAGGAGCGACTGCAGGGCCTAGCCAAGGTAATGTTACTGAGCTGCTTGCATTTGGGAAGCCGACTGAGTTGGTGGGCAATGACCCGGTCGGATGACGTTCAGCTTCAGATGGGTGACGTTGGACAGCGGAGTCGGGCAGTGGGTGCAAAGGAAAATACGGACCTAAAGAAGGGCATTGAAGGAAACAAGAAGTAATATTTGCTTAAATATCAAGGAAACGTTGGTCTGTTCGCATGCGGCACGGTGACCTAAAAAGAAAACAACTAGTGGCTGCACAGGGATCCCCCAGTTTTTCATCCAAACGATCAAGCGCGTATTCATCTAATTGGCGAACGCATCTGGTAAGACGGAAGTGATGTAAGTCGCACCAATGTGCAAAGATGAGAAGCAAAGGAAACAAGACAAAAACCATGGATGATGAATGAGGAACCAGCAAAAGCGAACACTGAAGACAATAAAAATGAACCCATAGATGCGTCACTTGGTGTTATGAACTACCCGTTTGTGCAATTCCGGTTGTACTGAAATCGTTCTCTGTCAGCTCCGAATCCCATCCGAAAATCAGAAGTCAACGCTTGGAGGCAAAAGCGTGCTGCTGAACCAGCTACCGAAACGGAAACAAGTAATGTGGAAACCAGTGAATATCTAATGGCCTACCCAGGGATGTTCGCGTTTCAGAACAGCTAAATCAGCTGCCCTGATTGATAGTTCAGTTCCGCTATCCAATAGGGAGGTGGATACGTGCGTCGTGTAGATCTGAATGTTCATGATGCGAACATTCCTGAAACGTCTTGATGTTTCTTTTGTACATCATTGGTTCGAATCGTTTTCCCATTGAATTAATAACTTTTCCTGGGAGATTTTACTCTCCCTGACACTTGGAATGGAGTCAGAAGAGCGGAAGGCAGATAGAAGGATAGTGTTGACAGTTGGAAGTCGTAGTAAATTTTCAAATAAGTTATGTCCCAGCCACTGCACATTCGTTTCATGCTTCCGAGAATCATCCGCAGTGCGTATTCCATGTGGAGCTAGAACCTGTGAACTTAGTTAAAGGATTCAGTGGTTAAGACGTTCAGTGCCTTTCTAAATATGCAGTGGCTGTGACTAAGTGTGGCAGTGACAGATCTCCGACAAATCTGACTTCCCACTATTATCTATAAGTCAGCAAATGCTCATACCAGCTGGTGATGCTATTGGACGACGGCGGATCATCAAGAGAAGTCCGCGGTTCAATGGGTACTTTGGAAACGCGTACGGCGGTGGCTGATGTGCTTCGTATCACCAAGTTACTGGGTCATGGTGGCTGCCAGTCATTCGATGGCCACCGACTCGCAAGAGTAGGGCAATCAGCATCATCATTATTCTACGCATTAGCTAGGAGTGAGAAGCCTCTCAGCTATGATGCGGTATACGATTAGGGTCGCAAATTTTAGTTCCAAAGGAGACAGGTGGAATAGGCATTGTTGATGATTCCAGAAAGCAAGAAATGGCCATCCGGTGATTCTCCGGACGTGTGATGGCTGTCTTAGTGTGGCTGTGATGAGTCACCTAGGAAAATAGCAGGAGTAGAAGAGCATGGTGCATTGATCGATGAGTCGAGTGACGTGGAAAAATAGTATTATATGCAGTCCGAAATTCTCGTTAAAATTCGGATACCGATTGGAGACTTATGATGAGCAGATGGGTATAAGTGTCAGAACAACAGTCACCATATCACATAAACGACAAGAAATGAATCGGAATCCATGCGTTGTTTTCTACCACTGAATGCAGTTTGAGGTTTCACGTTTTACCACGCGCACATGGCGGCTCAAATACGGAAGGACCGTTATCAATGGTGATCCCCAAACTCCGGTGTTGTCGTCGTCATCGGAATGAGAGCACTGGGTGTGGCTAAGCAAGCAGTGAAAATACAGCCCATTTCAGGTCTGGATTCATAACAGCCCGTTGACAACATAGCTGTACGCCACACTCAGTAACCAATGGGAGCGTATCGCTCCCATTGGAGATGACAGGTGAGAGAGCCAATTTATGTGGCAAGCGAAACTATTTGAAGATCCAGTTGGATCCTCAGCAGGATGTAGGGCTATAGATAGATAAATGCTTATGCGGAGGCTTGGCCGGATATGGTGACCCTAGCAACTGGGATTAAACTCGAAAAGGCACAACTTGTAGCCATACCGCGTGGCAAATGACGAGACAAGAACAAACGTTTAGCAAACTTGCCATGGTTACCCTAGTGTCCCACACCTGAAGCGCATCATGCAGCTGTGGCAGTGAGTGCTTCTGAGTTTAACAGCACAACTCCCATTGCCAAACGACTCACCAGTCAATTGAAAACCAGATAGGAATTTTTCAGGATGAGCTACATTGTATGGTGACGCACAATGATCAGCCATATGGGTCTGTATGTCACCTCGCTACTCAACCTTTGGAGTATCACTATGAACAAAGTGTGTAAATTGACACTGTGTATCAGTATTCCCCATAAGTGCCGACCCAGCGTTCCAGTAGAGAGTTTAACGACGTTTATTCCAGAGATCCGTCGTGGTCTTTCGGACAATAGATACCAAAACTCATTTTCGCAAATAACGCCAAGTGAAAAAAGCTGCCTTAACCAGTGTTGAGCAAGAAATTACGCGTCTAGAAACAGTCATATAACCATTAGCTTACTTTGATTGGACTGCTCCCATTGCTGTAGTACGAAAGGCCAATGACCCTATTTGTGTGTACAGATTTTTCCACAAGTCATAGTGAGGCCCATCACCTACACAGCTATCCACTACCAATCTCAGATGACGTAATGCTAAACTCTCAGAGGGCAGAATGGTTGCCAAACTGGATCTAGCTGACGATTAGCTGCAGTTTACTTTTGAGGATGACTCATAGGAATTATTGATAAGCAGTACACATGGTGGATTGTTTCCGTCGAAACGATTACCCTTCGGAGTTAAATTAGCTCCAGTCATTTTGGGTAGCCAATTGATACTACGCTCACTGACATCGAGAGTGCTGAATCCTACTTAGATGACATCTGCCGTAGGAATGAGCCCAGATGAGCTGTCAATGAGACTCGATCCGGTACTAGATCGAATAAGAGACAACAAGTTATGCCTGCGACCAGAGAACTGAATTTTACTTCTAGTACAGTTAAAATAACTAGGATTTGCCAATGATCATAACGGACGTCGTCAGCTACCGTCAACGTGCCCACATCGACAGACATAAGTACCATACGTACTTCCCTTGGTCTGGCCAATCATTACGCTAATTTCTCCATGGATAAGTAACTGCTGTAACAGTTTTAAACGAAGAAAGGCATCAGCAGTATGCCATACCAACGCTTCGCTGCCGCACAACCAACAGCAGTCGCACATACGCTAAGGATACTGAGAGGGTCTCCCGGTCCCTACGCAGGATCGAACCCACGCCGTCGAACTGTAAGGTAGGCTTGTGATCCTTAAGGGTAGTAATGAAAAGGATCAAGTGAAGTCGGTTCACCAATCTGATAAAAAATATGCTGACCTCCGATCTCCTCCTAACATACTATGATCAAAAACTTCCAATTATTGTAGCCAGCAATACAAGGAAATATGGTATATGAGATGTTTCGCCCACATTTTCCACGTAGTACTGAGAAGGCTATCATACGTGTCGTTATCGGCAGCAGAGAGGTTATTCTCAGGTGGAAAAAGAAACTTTGACTATCGTATTTGCTGTACAAAATTGTCAAAAATGGTGCAGAGTCGACGTTTCACGCTAATTACGGACCATAAACCACTACTAGCGATATTCGGTTCGCATAAAGGTACCTCGGGAACCACTGCAAGCGTTCTACAAAGATGGGCTTTATCGCTACTGGCGTGTGATTTTAGCACCAAGTACAAATAGACGACCGATTTTGGACAAGTCAATGTCATGTCACGGTTAAATGCTGATCATCTGGCAGACAACTAGGTGATTTTTATTACTAACGTGAGCCAGAAAATCAATAAAGTGTCTCGGGACTGCAAAATGTTATCCGGTCTCCCTGATACCCATTTACAATGACACAAAGCTCAGGATGACGCAATTCATAGGGTGGTGAAGCATGTGAAAGTAGGTTGGCTGGCACGAGTAACAGACTGCAAACTCAGGTCTTATCATTGACGTCATTACACCGAATCAGTCATTGATTCATGTTTACCGTTATCAGCTAACTGGTAGTGGATTTGGCGCAACGCGTAGGACCCCCAGGTCAATCATAATGTCAAAACAGTACGTGAGTTACGAAGCGATTTTACGAAAATTAGGGCGATAATTTTGAGACTGACCTCAACGATATCCAGACCATAAAATGTAGATTTCTGCCCTCAAATTGCAACCGGCCGTCAAGTGAGGTCAAAGCGAGGCACCAGTCAAATGAGGCACAAAGCCAAATAATAGAGCTGCAATCGGACGCGATTTAAAGCAAAGCGATCATTGTCTCAGCAGTCTGCAATACACATGGGTATGTGTCAAAGGAGTGATTCACTGTGCGGAAATATACGAAAGCATGAGTGATTATCAATGCCTCAGTTCAAGCTGTGATAAGGTGTCAGTGAACGAGGGTCTACAGTGTGCATGATATTGAGCATGGACAACAAATAGAGCTGGAAGTAAATGGGTTTGCATGGATGTGGTGGAGTTGTGTCAACTAGAAGGTTGGACCGGGAAGTCAGAACAAAGTAGGGAAGGGAACAGCGACATGTTTGAACAAGCCAAACATCAGTAGCAGTTACTTTGCGTGGAGTATGTGGTAGTTCGCACATCCATACAACAATTCACTCTTATAAAATCTCCCAAGGATTGTCAAGGGATCACACGGACCAAAGCGCTGGCCAAACTATATTTCTATTGGCTAGAAATGCACAACGATATCGCGCACTTGTGCAAACAATGTGTGTTGGTGAAGCGAGCACCCAATCGTATAGCTCAAGTGCCATGACCTGAAAAAACAGCATTGGTTCACGTAGAATTCGTCAGGCTAGTTGAGGGAAGATCACCTCTCATTATGATCGACGCTCACTCATGGGTCAAAGATCATCCCAACGCCTAGCACAACCATAATAGCAGTCCCTATCAAATAGCTGCATCATTTCCGGATAGATGCAGTGAGAAAACACTATTAGTGTTATCTGAAGGGGATGGCAAAGCGAGCAGAGAGCTCAAGTCCTGCAGGCGGGTTTCCGATAAGTAGCAAATGTCGATCGAGAGGGTCTCTACTATTCGGATAAGCGCTGCTTTTTGGCCGATCAGTAACAATGTGCGTGCGTTGAGGCATGCCAATCTAACGCCAATGAACTAGGCCTATCCGATTGGTTGGACATGGGTTTGTCGACAGCGCAGGAGTGATATTCCGCGTTTGTGTGTGAGTTTAAACTGCAGGACGAACGCCTAGTGAAGCAAGATGGGGAGGGTCGATAATTGTGGTGGGGGGGGGGTTGAAAACGAGGGGATAAAAATGAAGTTGGAACGGGACAATAAGAGTGCAAAACCGTAAGAAGAGGAATAAGAAGACGGGGAAAATGGGGCAGTAGCATCGGAATCGCTATCCACTCCGCTCGCTGTAGTAGATAGGGCGCCGTTGATTATCCTCTGTGACGGTCAGAGCATCAAATAATGGTTTGAATGTAAAGTCGTATTGCGTGGCAGAATATTGCCAGGCTGCCTAGGCCTAGACAGGAGAACGATTAGGGTTCTCAAGCGAAGACTTTGGGTCAGAAACCTGACCACAATGTATTGGGATATGGTAATGGGCTACAGAGTCCGCTTTAAGGAATAAGATGTTACCCTCATTCCAACCAAAAAATAGAGGACCAAGAGAGTGAGTTTGTCTGACTGACAATTGATCAATCTAGCATGAGTGGCTCTGAATCTGCAAAAAGCACCACCCAGCATAGCTCAGTGGATCGCTGAGGCACGTAAACGATTGTACCACGATAAGGTCTAGTCTCGTTGCAATGGAGTGAGATTAGTTCCGTTTGCGAAAGACTTCCTGTAAACCACGGATGATAGATGCGTTGCGCTCATGGGCAACATGAGTTAGGCAAGCGTCCACAGAAATTGACAACTATCAGAAACTCTACCAAGGAACTCAAAAGAAATAACACACCTTCATTCGAAGCGTCATGTAAGAATCCACAAGATTGTAAAAATAGCCGGGAGTGAACAGGACAGACGAGACCTAAAATGAAAAAGAAAAGTGAATGATGGAATCAAGAATAAAAATGACATATGACAATTGGCGTGATTGCAGTAAGCCTTATTGGGAGAGCAGAATGGTAATATTAGAGAAGAGGACCACGGTAAGTGAAGTCCGTTGCACTCGCTGAACAGTGTCTGTATTACCGACAGTCGATAAGAGAAATGGACAAAATGAACCATGGTTAGATTTTCGTTATTGGTTGAAGACGGGCAAAAAGAGGGTGGTGAGTGTTTACGCGATATAGACTACTAACTATCTAAACCCTTCGCATTATATGGGAGCGAGGGGGATGGGCCAGTGTATTTTAACCGGTTCGATAAGTCATTACTTGTTAATGCAAGGCAAACAGAGCTAGATGGGCTCAAAACTCGCGGCTAATCAAAAAAATGATAAGCAACTCATGTCAGCTGCCAGTTTGATAAACAAAACGAGATTCACAACAGTGTCAAGGGCACGCGGTAAGATGCAAAGCATTGTGTGTAATACGGATTGCAATCTGACTTCAATGGATAAAAAGAATTCAGTTAAAGTGAGTGACTCGTAGGACCTAGGAGGCCGTTGCACCTTCATATGGTGTACAAAACGATGAGCAGTAAAGAAGCGGCAGTCATTTCTGGAGCAAAGGAGTAGAAATTCGGTCTCTACACTTAGTAAAATGGTAAGCAAAAACAAACTACGGGGCGAGATACAGGGTAAGACGGGCTACCGTTCCTAATGAACAAAACCTAAGTAGTTTGACAACGATGGGATGTGAGAGTAAAGCAAATTGGAATGTCTCTTCACATGCTTTATAATCGGTGTTACCGCCGGTAACATGATATAATTGGAACTGCTTGGCTGTTTATGAAGTTAGAATGCAGTCTGGAATAGATGCAACGAATTGGTCACTTGAGAAAAATTGAGATATCAATATCAGTGGTGAAGATAATCAGGTTTCGTGACGAAGGATCCATTAATCACTTTGTTGTTACCTTTTCATTCTTCAAATCATTGTTCGTACACATGTTGTTGCCTCTTATCAGATTGACTCAGATATAGCACTGATGGCTCACAATTTTATTTCGTCCGTTTTTAGTGAATATATAAACTTTATAATATAAAGAATAGCATTAGAAAGCTACAAGGAAAGGTATATTTCGAGGCGGTGGAATATGTCGTCAGTTCAAGGGGTAGTTGGCGAGATGAAACAAACACACTACACCGCATATTCTTACACGTAAGAGGCAAGATAGAACGGCGCCAGACAGCAATGAGTGCCAGGGGGTCACGTGTGATGAACTACCAAATGTCAAGCAGATACTGGACACGAATAGCCACCAGATCTGACAAGGGGCCAGCAAGGATAAACATAATGACAGGACATCATAACGGGAATAACAGTAAGTTGTTAACATGTAACCACAGGCGACAATGGGGTCACCGGACAAAAACATGTGACTCACATGGCCACAGTGATGAGGGAAGAGTACTCAAAGGGTGGCTTGCGATCCTAGTTTGCGACAGTGTGGACAACTCCGCAGGAGACAACTCTGTGCTGACAGCCTGCAAGTCTACAGGAGTCTCCCGTTTCTCAGTGATTAATTCGACTGCACCATGCTTGATTTCAACCAAAGAATGGGGAGCAGCAGGCTCAGGTGACATTTTTGCCAAAGACGAGCTCGTAGACTGTGTTGAAGATGTCTGTATGGTTATGAGACGCTTCATACACTGCTGCTGCAGAGCTAACAAGGCGGAGAAATCCACTTGATTGGGATGTGTAGTAACGGCAGGGGAGATGAAAGTCCTACGAATGCCCGCCGCTGGGGGAGCAACTGTAGGCAGTGGATGGAGGTCAACACTCCCGAAGCCTCGTTCGCGTGCTTCTGTTTCCTCTGTGGACGACGAGGCGCTGCTATTGCACCGTGCGCCACGAGTATTGCTGGTTTTGTAACGATTACGCATAGATTGGCAACTGTTCGCACTACCACCTGTGCCTGTGCTCATACTCATGGCTGTGGCTCCACTGCTGGTGCTGCTGCTTCCTTGACTTTCTCGGGTGACTGGAAAATCGCGAAAACGGAAGGACAGGGACTGGTTCGTTGGTTGTTTGTTATCGGGTACATTGTGCTTTTCTCGAGCAACATCAGATACCTGGTGTGCCGATTCGGTAAATCTCTGGGATTGGGTTTTATCGCTTTCTCTGTTGCCACAATTCCAACGGTTGAAGTCATCATCTGACTGCCTACTGCAAGAAAAAACAAGGGAGTAAGCTGGTGAGTAGCCACTGTGAGGATGTTGGGTTACTCTTCGAGTTGAACAGTTGGTTCGCAGCGGTTTCGTCATTAGGCTAAGTAGTGCCGTGGGTGCAAGTTGAAGGGATAATAAATAGTTGGTTGAAAGATGATACGCGTGAAAACAACGCGTCGGATAATAACCCGGCGCCATGAGGCTTTTTTACTGCCAGGTGAGTGTCTTGATCATCTCTCATGAGTCGCTTAGTGGTTTCCGACAAGCCATACATTACTTGTTACTCATTCATCCCACCATTAGTAAACTTCATTCGGGGAAACAGTCAAGACGATCCACCAAAAAGGTAAACATGACAACGAAAATAGTGAGATGACAAGGCTCAAAGAAGTGTGGTATTGTGATCCCGTGATCGATGAGATCATGATAAAGTGGGAACCAAAAAGTGGTCGAAAGAGAGAAGAGCAATCACAACGCATGCAATTGTATAGAGGACACCGAGTGTCCCCAACTATGGCCCTAATAGGGAGTGGATAGACAGGCTCATGGCACTGTTCAGTCCACCATGCCAAGAACAGACCTTAATCAGCAAATGCGGTCCTTCCATATAAAACAAAACCCGGTAAACTGATACATGCTTTCGGAGTTGTCGACTAGCTAGCCAGCCGAAAAACTTCCTCGTGGTGCCAGCTGGGTGGGTCAGGTTTAACACGTTAAGGCAAATAGTTCGGCGGCAGTGTTCCAAGATGTGATGAGTTTTCGCCTGGCGAGCGTTCTCCGTATAAAAAACCCTAAATGTCTGCTTATTAACAGTGTGACGTGGCGGTGGTGACTCGCCACAAAATAAAGTCACTGCCCCGTGGAAATCCGGATAATCCTTTCTGACCCACAGACATCAATCTTCTACTCGCACATTGCTGACGATATCAAACATTCAAGAATGGAGTATTGCAAGTACAAGCACAAAGCTACATGCGCATACATGGTTGGCGGCATCCGGTTTCGGATTTGCCTGTCACTGTGGCAAGCCACAGGACGCCTGCGCCTACAGAGGGACCATGCATGGCTTGCGCTGCACCACCCACAGCTCCAACCACACACCCCATATCCAGTGTAAACCCGAAGGAATAAGACCGGGAGGCATGCGGATGGGAACCATGTTTCATCAACGGAGCCGGCCCACACTCCTTCACAGGCAAACACAAGCACACTGTATTTGGGAATCAAGCGCACACAAGGCGGTGGCTGGACCGTAGTCCGCTCCACACTGACTGCATGGAACCACTCTTTGAGCCTAACACGGCCACAAGGACCGTGCACCCTGTCCCCTCCAGCAACGAGCAACTGTCTCCTGGAGCCAGTATGGACGAGGTAGTGGGTAATAGACAGGTAGGCACCTTGTCAACATGCACATCAAGCGCAGCCACACCGGGGATATCAAACAACAGCCAATCACTTGAGAGAGAAAGAAAAAGAGAAAAACTCGATTAATGCATAAGGAAACGGTGATACAAACCTTAAGTAAATAGCATATGTAATAAGTTGTTTACAAACAGATCCTAGCTAAGTGCACGAGGTCAGGAAGTATAGTTCACGGAATGCCACGAACGCAAAAATGTTATGAGAATCGACTACAATTGGCTGAAGCGATGTGTGCAAGTTAATGGAATAGAGTACAGGGAGATATTTATATGAGAAAGAAAAGTATTAAGGTAAAAACTGTAAACCCACCACCTGAAATAAAGAGACTTAGCATGCAAGCACGCGGTTAGTAAATCGAATTCAGCGTGCCTACAAACGCTGCGCCGGCTCGCCGTAATTCTCTGCAGGACCCGTGGTCGCTTCTGTAGTGGCCCCAAATGGCACAGCTCATGGCCCACTAGACATTTATATGAGAAAGAAAGGCATTAGGAGAGAACCGAAAACCCACCACCTGAAATAAAGAGACTTAGCATGCAAGCATGCGGTTAGTAAATCGAATTCAGAGTGCCTACAAACGCTGCGCCGGTGCTGCCTACGTTCACTGCGGGACCCGTCGTCGCTTCGGCAGTGGTCCCGAGTGACCTCTCTCATGGCTCACTAGGCCTGCCTGACTAAGGCACTCGCGACCGCATGTTCCACAGCACAATGCGCTCGATGTCGATGGAGTACAATTCATTGGTGCTTGCCGCTTCCGCAACTGCCGCTTCTTCTCTGCATGCATGAGGGCTTTCTCCCGCACTTCAGCAACTGTCTTCGTGATTAGATCGCGCCATGCACCACGATCAACCGCCTTCGATTCCCATGATCTGCAATCAAGATTAGAACGTGTGAGGCTCACTTTAATCATGTCCTGGTAACGTAACTTTGGTTTCCCCACGTGCCACTTCCCTATACTCAGCTGACCGTATAAAAGTTGTTTCGGTATCCTCGTCAAATCCATACGGCTCACATGACCCAGCCATCTGAGGCGTCGCAGTAAAAGTATGCCGTCCACTGCATACATCCCACTTCGGCGCAACACTTCCGTGTCTGCAACTCTGGCGCCCCAACCGATCCGCAAAATTCGTCGCAGACACTGCTGATGGAACCGCTCGAGATATCGCACATCCCGACGGTACATCGTCCACGTTTCACTGCCGTATAGAAGAACGGACAGTACCATGGATTTGTACACCATCAGCTTCGTGCCAATGCTAAGCTGATGGTTGTTCCACACTCGGTACTCAAGCTTCCCGAATGCCGCTGCCGCCTTCGACACGCGATTACGCAACTCAACGTGCAACTGCTGATCAGTCGACATCACACTCCCAAGGTAGCAGAAGCGGGAGGTGGTTTCCAATACTTCAGCACCAATGCTGATTCGCGGCAATATTGAAGATTGCACCTCCGGTGAAGGCTGAAAGAGACAGACAGTTTTGCTTGTGTTGATGGTGAGCCCGAATTTGGCCGCTGTCGAAGCAAGAGCACAAGTTATGTGCTGCAATTCATCCGCGTTGTGTGAAAACAACGCACAGTCGTCAGCAAACAGCAACATACGGATAGTTGTCTCACAGACTAGAGTTCTCGCACCGAAACGACGGATGTTCAGCAACCCACCATCAATACGGTGCTCCACACGAACAGTGGTATGCGAGCGAGGGTGCAGCTGAGTGGAGACCTCGGATGACTTTGCAGTTGTCTCTGGTGTGAAGCAAGGCTGTGTCTTAGCTCCTGCCCTGTTTAATATATATCTTCATGCAATGTTGTCTTGTGCTTTTGATGCGGCTTGTGCATGCGCATACATAATTATATACGTATATACAACCGTAGACAAACATACACTAGTATGGCAAACATATCGTATTTTTGCACATTCGTGATCATGCATTGTTAGCTTAATTTGATCATGCCTGTAAAGGCAAGCTTCGCCTTGTCGAGAATAAAAACTTTATCTATTAATTTATTTAATTAACGGGGACTGATGAGTGGCGAGGTAACAAGCGAAGAACTAATGTCTCCGAGTCCAAAACACGCCACGGCATCTGAACGGTGCTCACTTAAGTCATACCATGAAGACACTGGAAGCTGAAAAAGGCAGTCTCCGTTTCCTGTGTAGATAAAGCAATCTTAACGACAAAACTTAGGAGCGATGAGTCTTTAAACATGGGGTCTGCCATGGCAACAAGCAGCCGAGGTTATCAGGCTAAGAATTACAGAGTTGAGGTTTAGCAAAACAGGAAGAATTTGTGACGAGTAAAATGATCGCTCCGATAAAATAATGCCTCCAGAAACAAATGTGACGCTGTGGATCTAAGGTCAAACAGCTAAAGCTGATGAAATGTCACCAGCAGCAGATAGATGAAAAAAACTCAGAAATGTCGTCTGCAATGAATGCACTGACATCATGGAATCCACAAGACGTCTTTTGCACCGTCCCACTTCACGATATGTGGTATTTTTCAAAGAACGATAAATTTCCGGTAAATGATTCCGCAAACGGTCAATCTATCTTGAATGGATCGTAATGAAAACGGTTGTTTGCAAGGTTCATTCGTAGATCCATGCAACATCACCCATAAGAGATGTGAAATGGTTACCGATGCAAAAGATGGTGACCCAGCCCGTCACCCAAGTTAAATGGTAAAAGGAAAAATTTAAAAACAGTAAAATGTGGGGCCACTGTAAGTAGAAGTTTGGATGAAAGAGTGTTGTGTCATTACAGACGCATTCACTCCACGACCGCAAGAAGAACTCCAAAGAGGAACCGGGAAAGACTTTTATTCATTAATTCACATTGGCTTATATGGTTTTGTTAAGATATTGAAGGGAAACTACTAAAATACTTTCGAATCAACCAAACAGAGAGAAAACACTAGACGCAACAAGCGAATGAGCAGGCGTGGAATGAAGAACGAATCGGATATGACCTTGGAAATGGCGTTATAGGACCCAAACCGTAAAGTGAACACCCATTTATAACGACCGGTGCTGGTCAATCCAAATAACGAAATGCTGTGTTTAAATAATAAAAGAATGTGGTCTGTACGCCGTAACGGCACTTCTCTACCGACCACCACTAGTCGCACGTGGGCTGAGTATAACGCGAAGACGCCTACCCCTACGCCGATTCGAACCCGCGCCGCAAGATTACGAGACAAGCTCGTTACCTGTAGGCTATGGGCCGACCGTGTGTTTGAACAAGGGTCAAGAAACAGGTGATAGGAAAATATGTAAACCTGGAAAATAAGAACTACTACAAAAAATGTATGTCAACTAAACATTTTCTTAACATAACCAAATAAAAATTCAAGGAAATAAATAAACACCGACCAAATGTGGTCTTGGAAACGATGGTGCTGAAACTGACACGTTAGATGAGCGTCCATTAACAACAACGTACGTTTGTCAATCAGACTAGAGAAGTGGTGTTCAAACAACTGTCAAGTGGTAGACGATAGGAAGAATGAAAAATGGCAACTAGGATCGTTCACAAAAATGAATGTCAAACAGATATTCACCTAAGAGAGAGCTACTGACTAACAGGGTGAACAGTGTATTTTGTTTCCCATCACTGATATAGTTTAGTGGATAACGCCAAAAGGACAAATGGTATCTATCGGAGTGGCTAAGCTTTTTATTCGTCATCTGACAAATTCAATATGTTGCCGAAACAAAGGCGTAAAAACTATGTATACTAATAAGCATGGTCAAGCATTGGTCAGGGGTTATCCTTAACAAACAGCATGCTAAAGTGTGACACTAAGTATTAGAAAATGAAAAAGGGAAAGTGGAAAGTCCCGAGCCAAAGGGATGTCTAATCAAAAGAGGACACAGATGTCCAACAAATGATTACGAATAGTAGGAGAACAGAGATGGTTAAGACAGGTTAAATCATGTTAACTAAAACAAAATTGTCCATTTACAACATACTGACACAGTCAGATACACAAACACAACAGAATTTAGCAGGATGCATGATAGATTGACAAGCATGCGTTAACTAATTCGACATCATTAAACTGAATGGGAAACAAAATACAAAACGATCATACCGATAGCATAATGATGCACAAGTAACTCTTGCACACTCACGATGATGGCACTTCATCTTGTTCCATTTGTCTGAACAACTGAGATGGGTGGCGTCTGTGAGAACAGGCCTTCGAAGCCTCTTGCGCTTGCTGTCTTACACCAATCGCTGTTACAAACTGCACTTCGCTTTTCTTGCCACAGGGCATCATACCTTCATTATTATATTAGAATCAATCCTTGGAAGGTCGGTACATTGGTACAGAGGCTATGGTAAAGCTGGAAAAGAACCAAGTTAAATAAATAATTGCCCAATGTAGCAAATTAGACAGGCATGATTGTCCGGTAAAATAACGATAATAAAGGCTCCATATAGCCAAGGAATGGTGTACTAATACGCATCAAGATTGTGAACTATCGCATTAAAATGGTGAAAAAAGTAGAGGCTACTAAACTAAGTAATTAAGGTATTAGGAAAAGCTGATCTTATGGCATGACAAATTCAAGCCGTACTTGGTGCCAGTTGCATCACAGAAGCACCTTGTTCCGAGCAGAGGGCTTCGCCAAAGTGAGTCCAATGAGAGACGGCGAGGTGAGCATGATAGGCTCAGACTACGCGACCACGTAGGCCGCTAACATCGTTGGCTGGCAAACACGAATAGACCTCAGATCACCGAATTAAGGCCGGAAGGCACTGTTGCAGAATAGCAATTTCCGTCTTTTCTTGCCAACACTTTTGGGATAAGCCAGATAAACCGGTGTTTTGCGTACAAAAGCAACCATCGGTCAGCCTCGGGTCACAATGGACGTAAGCACGTGAGTTCCATGTTTATTTCTTGTCATTTGTTTGTAAGTCTGTCTGCACAATATGACAAATGTATACAATGTCCAGTTATCGTTATCGGCACTGGAGAAATGATAAGTAATGCATGCATCTACCAAAATTCGTCTTCTCACTATGCCTTTCAAATTGTTGAGGGGAATCAGCTGTGTTAACCTCCATATTTCTGTCTGATAAAACGTCCATTCCATATACGAAATCAAAAAAGCACCATGTGGTGAACTCATCGAAATTTCGCTACTTCATGAACACCCTGTAACCGACTTACGGATGACGACTGAACGGCGCACGCACGTACCGAAAGCATGTACAGTTTGCGTTAAGCTGTAACATCTGGTGCGGTGGAAACAGCAGCTGACTTAGAAACGAAACTGGTATGAAAATCAATGATGCTGTTGGTTCTCCTCTGCGACAGAAACATGGACGTTCAACAGATGGTACATTCGCTTTCTGAAACAATTACACCAGCTAGCCCTGCGTCAGGCTCTGCGCATTCGATGATGTGACAGAATTCCTCACACGGAAGCGCTGCGTTGAACGGGGCATGTGTGGATTGGATGAATTCTTCAGCTGCGATAACTGTGGCTCGGAGATGTCCGCCATACGGATCGCCACCAATGGCGGGACCATATTAAGAGTGCCGTTGTCCAAATGCACCAGAAAGAACTGTTGAATCACGGAGAAAAGCGCCAGTAACGGAAGCATCAGATGCCGACAGAGACTGGTCCATCTGTCGTTGCGTTTGTCACTGAAATTTATCGGTGCAACATTCTTTGTGGCACTAGCTCACCAGAAACTATACTGTAAGATGAGGCGTAATAGTTGCAACGTCCACCATGTTGCTCTTGTACAAATCCTCTAAAAGAAGTGTTGCCGTTGCCTCTATAAGGTGGACCACTAATAAAGCAAATATGAGCATTCACAAGTTCAACTTCAGTTGGGACCGGAACGATAAGATAATCCCGTGAATGTTCCTCCTTCTGCATATCGTTGAATCAGCAATTTGCAGATCTGTTCAAGATTACGATAAGTCTAAAATAAAAACCGCATCACACACCGGCCAACCAGTTACTGGCCACATTTCCTGCCCAGCAGTCCCTGCCATGCCGGTTTATACGAAGTATGAGTGAATGGTAAGCCAAGAAAACAAAAGGAGGAATGTCAACTAAATAATGATAACACCAAGGCATGAGAGGAACTGGGGAAAAAACAAGAAAAAGCCGAAAATACGAATCGGTTAGGAGAAGATTTGTTACTACCACCCAGGAGCATCTGACGCTCGAAAGCTCCAACCGTAGATTCCCTAACGACGTGCTCCGGAAGCGAGTTCCAACGTCTAATAACTCGGCGCAACCGATCAGAGCGCAGTTTGTGCAGCTTCAACGAGTGACCGCGGAGACAAGGCAGCCGAGCGGGACTAAATACCCAGGACAAGTCTGGACCGGTAAGCGAGGATCAAGCAAGAATCCAATCCCCTCTACTTCTCCGGTAGTGCATTGAGTACATCCCCAAATTAAGCAAACGCTCGGGATACGTTTGTCCCCATGTACGGTGTGTCCACATACCGGATATAATTGTTTGCACATGAAATAGTTGCAAATTTGATAAAAGCAATAACGCTGACTTCAATGAAGGTAAATAAACAGGGATTAACCGGTAAGGGCACGACACAATGGCGGATACAAGCCAGAGGGAGTGTAGCATACGTCCGGTCGGAGCTTCCGAGGGCTTCCATATCTAGGGCGTAAGGAAGTCGTAAAAAGCCAAGGGTATGAAGTGCAAAACTGATAATTCGTAGGCGGCCGGACAGTTTCATCAACACCTAATAAGAGTTGAAGATTGATGGAGGGTGCGTCTGGCCTACACCCCGTGGCGAGCTCGACGGCGATGTCCCAGCTGCCGACGCAGGACCGAATCTGAAGTGAATGGAAGGATGAGATGAAAACGTACAGATGGCTATTCTAACGATACCGAAGATGAAATGGGAAGGTAAAGAGTAGAAGAAACGACGATGGCATTCTAGGCTAGACTGGGCGACATCATACCTGTTGACTCGCTACAGCGACGTGTGTATTTTGAGCGATAACGAGTTTGTGGTGTGCCATATTAGTCGGCTTTTTGGCTTTTATAAGGTGGAAAACAGTGTTTGAATGAACATTTGGAAGGAAAGTTGACTGTGGTCAAGTTTTTCCCTGATCTAAGGTAATTTGGGTCGATTAAAACGGTACTAGACCAGGCATCTCGTTGACGCCTACTGGTACTATTTCCGGCCGTCCTCAGTTTTAGTCTCTGCTTTACCCAGTTTTGTCTTGTTACTACTGTCGTTTTACTGTTGTATACGTGTTATAATTCTGCTGTTTTCCACTTGGCTGCCTCGCTAACCAACGATGCGGATGTACCCCTGGGATCCTCGTTCGATAAGTCTAATGCAGCTGGCTGTAAATCTAACAGTTCAAAACCAGTCACGGATTCATACAGTGGCATGCAGTGTGACATATGCTGTCGATGATTTCACGAACATTGTAAAAGCCTCAGATCGGACAAGTACAATATGCCATCATCCATTGAGAACTTACTTTTTCAGCCGTGCTGTAAGCTATGTTTGGAGATCGAAGCATCTGGCTTTCACCGGTGCTGAATTTACAGCGCTGGCATCGAGATTGGCAGATGTTGTGTAGGCGTTAGCCGAGCCTGCCTCCCTTGCCTCGATCAACACTAAAATGGATTTGATTCTGAAATCCATGAACGTTGCAAGTGGGGACGCTGCAGCAGACTGCGCAACTGATACCAGTCTATCCGCTAGCGTCTGTCAGCCGGTCGAGGAGTCGCCCATCTTATAGGACACTCTATTTAATTTAGAGGTCATTGACTCAGATACCTCGGATAGTATCTTTGATTCTGCCCGAAATGAAAGCAAATCACAGGCTCCTGGGACAAAAAAGTATATGCTTAAGAGAGCAAAAAGTTCGTAAACCCTCCGTCCCCAAACCGCGAGGAAAGCAAACGTTCAAGGTGTAACAGCTTGAGTTGGAGGTAACATCTGTTCCTAAAATGCCCTCAAGGAAAACTGAAGTGCACTCACCTTTGATCCTGCCGATCAAAAGCAAAAAGCCACGCCGCGTGAATGGCAGAGCATGTGGAGTCAATACACCCCGTCGTAACAATTCTTACACAGACTCCAGTGTGACCTTCAGAAAGGATTCTGAATCCGCTGCTGCCCTTCACACCGAGTGCATTCCTGACGAAATTGAATGCTATAAAGTTTGCGCGACAAAGCTTTCTCCAATAGGGTTCCGTGGCGTTACTGTCGGCAAGCTTATCAGGCCTGGGAAGGTACCCGTTAGTAAGTTACCATTTGCTTAGAGTGGTTCTCTCCACTCCAGAAAAGCGCAAGCTGTTACTGTGATTTGTTCTCATGCGCAAAGGTACTAGCGTTAGTGTGCAACCTGACATCCCGTTAGCGGATAGGTTAAAGGAAGCTAGCAGCGACCTATAAGCCCGGCGTGCAGCTGGCGAGTATGGTCTCCGACTGGCGATTTTTCAGATGGTTAACCGGCAGCCCTGTCAGAACCGATTCCAATTGCGCACAATCTAAAGCTGGTCGTGCCAGTCATTCAAGTAGCAACGCGTGTAGCCCAAAGAACAAGAAGTGCCAGGTGGACACGCCCGTAGACAAAACTCGTACAGATATACTTTTCTTCACTGAGGAAATCAAGGATGGTGAATTATATTTGCCTGGATACGCACTGCTCCGCGATGATCGCTCTATTGGCTATCAAGTGGGTGGTGTAGCGGTTTATGTGAGTTACTACAGACGTCTTGAGGATCAGCAGTTTTCACTCGCTCGACAAATCTGGTGAGGCTCTCGCAATCATGATTTGGGCTTTATCGGTTCAGTTTACAGCCACGCGAGTGCATATAAGTCCCACGAGGCACTCCAAGAGGATCGTGGAGTGTATACGCAATCACTCTGCAAACATGTGTTACTAGGTTACTTCAATTTCCCAGAAGGTTGTTGGGAAGGGCTATTTTATAACTCGGCGTTGGGGTCGTTCTGTGCGGAACTGCTGTACTTGACCCTGCAGTTTGTGGACCTTCCCACTAGGTACATGAACAATCAGCAACCGTCCAAGTTAGAACCTGTTTTTGCTACATCACTTGAGTTACTAAGTGTCAATACTTACGCCTCTTCGAGCCAGTGATCACATTTGCTTGTCTTTTCAGTATGCTCATACCAAGCTACTAGTGTTTGGCATCCAAACATTTGGGCCGCGAACTTGCAAGCGATGAGAGACGGCTTTATCGTCGGATTGTGCGATCTCTGAGGCCGACACTGCTCTGGTAGCCTTGGGAAAAGTTCAGGCTTACCTCATCGATGTTGCTGCACCTCACATTCCACTGGTTAAAAGAAAGTCGAGAGAACAAAATACATGGAAAGATTCCGTGAGGGAGAGCCTGCCAAAGAAACGGGCCAGATTCTGGCGAACGTATCGACTAGCACGTTTGACAGGTGGTTCGGAATAAGTGCAAGCAACATCTCAGGTTGGCTCGGCTTCAGTATGAGAAGGCCTTAGCAGACATTTGGTCGACCAATCCTAAAATGGTCTTCGCCTACGTTAACCGACGTTGCGGTGAAAGCTCGCTGATTCCAGCGGACAGGACCCATTCCTATAGCGACTCTGGGAATGCGTGTGTTCGTTGAGCAATATTCAAGCGGCTTGAACCACGAAACAAATACGCCACGCAGAGAATTGGTCACAAAAGTACCTGTGGGCTCTTGTCTGGACGAAATTATTGCGATGGAGTCTGAAGTTCGGTTGCTGAGGGAAATGAAGCCAAATAAGGCTTCCGCGTCAGATTATGTTCATCCTAAACTGCTGCACGAATTGGCAGAGGAACCCAGTGGACCTCTGACTTGTGGATTCCACTAAACAGCTGCGTCTTACTTCCCGAATGAAAGGAAACGGTAGTCTGCACCATTTTCAAGCACGGTGATAAGACATAGCGGCTTAATAAAGGTCTGTCAGCTTCACTAGCGTAGTGGTCAAATTATTCGGAAAGTGAGTAAGAGAATCAGTGGAAAACCAACTCATTCATTCATTCATTATACACATCAGCTAGAGGTGGGAAAACACTGCTATTGTGCCGCAATATATGAAAGAAATACATGGTTGGCGGCATCCGGTTTCGGATTTGCCTGTCACTGTGGCAAGCCACAGGACGCCTGCGCCTACAGAGGGACCATGCATGGCTTGCGCTGCACCACCCACAGCTCCAACCACACACCCCATATCCAGTGTAAACCCGAAGGAATAAGACCGGGAGGCATGCGGATGGGAACCATGTTTCATCAACGGAGCCGGCCCACACTCCTTCACAGGCAAACACAAGCACACTGTATTTGGGAATCAAGCGCACACAAGGCGGTGGCTGGACCGTAGTCCGCTCCACACTGACTGCATGGAACCACTCTTCGAGCCTAACACGGCCACA